GACAATGCAGCCCTGCACAGATCCGCTTTTCTCTAGGCCCCTGGCTCTGTACTGTGAATGTGTCTTCCTTAGTAGCAGGCTGACCTGGGTCAAGGCACCTTTCTTCATGGGAAAGTCCTGTTTGTCATTTCCACCACAGATCTGGACGGCATAGCCTTTCTACTCCAGTGTTGGCAGCAACTTGTGTGGCCCTGGAAGTTTCCGTCCAATGTGCACTGAATAGTTTCAGCCAGCACTTGTAGGCAAGGAGATGTAGAGCTTTACCTTGACTGTGCTTAGCACTGACCACACAGCTAAGCTCACACACTTCCGTTCTAGACCTTTTTGTAATCTAAAATCCACCAAGCAGCCCCAAGTATATTATTTTCTGGAACAATTCATCAATATTCACATTATTACAAATTGAAACAAATACTAAAATTCATGTTTTTAAAATATTATCATGTTAGTCCTCCCTGCACTCCAAAGCCGCTGGAGAAGAATGGCCTCTTTCTCTGTGTGCATTTCTGCTGTATCATTTCTCCTTTCTTTTCCAGATTGACTCATTTACTGGAAAGGCAGAATAAGACAGAGATCAATTGTTTTCCACCTGGTAGGTTATTCCCCAAATGGCCACGATGGCAGGTGCTGGGCCAGGCCAAAGCCAGGAGCCAGATCTCCATCCTGGACTAAGTGCCTGGTCCATTGTCCCCTGCCATCTCAGGCATATAGCACATTAAAGGGAAAGAAACTGCAGGTCAAGCAATGGGGATTCAGACTGCTATCACCAGTAGTGGCACGAGCCACCTGGCCCGGTGTCACCTCTTGACAGGAGGTGGCCGGTTCTCTCGTCTGCTTCTGCAGTTGGCTGGAATGTCCATCCCAGTGGAGCACACGAAGAGAACTCTGCCTCACGCAGTGCTGGTACTGGAACAGGAGGAGGGATGAGTACTTCAAGAGGACTTTCGGGTACAACTGCAGAGTGTCTGTTGATACTACAGCCAACACTCAGCACACCGAAGCTCCTTCAGGCAAACTGCAGGCGGAACCTGACACTAATAAAGCACGCCGCTCTTTTCTGCGTTTTGAATCATCTTCCACCCAGGAGTAATTGTGGGGCTCTAAGCTGTTGTTCACCGAGATCTTGATAATGTTGACACATCACAATGTTCAACAGGTATGTTTTAAAAATCACACTTGTTCACCATTTATTCTCATTTTTGTTTGAAAACTAAAATTATCACGGGCAGCAAGCAGAAGCACTTTTTTTCTTGAAGTGACAACATCGTTTTTTTCTTGAAAAAATGTCAAGTCCGCAACTCAGAATGTAATGTTAGTTGGTCTTTCAAGAAAAAACCAACCCACCCACCCAGCCAACAAAATGACAGGCCGTAGCTCTGCTGGCTGGCACGGATAGTCACTGCACCTTTTCCAGGCGCTGTGTACTGCCACCCTGGGCAACTCTGCCGAGGCCACCTAAGATGGCATCAAAGACACCAAGGATTCGTTCCCTGACCTCTGGAAAGAGATCGTGCGCACCACATTTTCGTATCAGTTTCACTGGCCATCTTGTAAAGACCCATTCCCGAGTCTGCGCAGGCTCCACCTGTGGGTATGACACAGGGGTTGCCACAAGCAAGGTCAAGTGAATAAAGGCTGGTAGACCAAGCGTGTAGTCCAGCTTGTGACCCTGGCCATGCCTGGGTCTGAGGCGGTGCTCACGCCCAGCACTCAGCACAGAGTGGAGCTGCAGAGGGACAGTCCACCACGGAGAAGGCAACTTTCAGTGCCAGAGATGAGCTATGTGCACATGAGCCTGAGGGCACCCGGGCTCCAAAGGGCTTCCCAGGACAGCAAGCTAAACAGATGCAGAGGCACAATGCACAGGAGCCTCCTATGCAGGCTTGTCTCTGGCCAACTTTCCCAAAGACTGCCAGTATAAGAATGAAACGGCTACAAATATGAAGAAATCTGTCAATGCTTTTAGCTATAACTCTTCTGCCATTAAGTAGTATAGTTAAACTTCAAATTTTGAAATGTAAATGGGAGAAAAATATTTCCTTTAAAAAAATTAGTCTGTGGGCCCGGCGGCGTGGACTAGTGGCTAAAGTTCTTGCCTTGAATGAGCCGGGATCCCATATGGGCGCCCATTCTAATCCCAGCAACCCCGTTTCCCATCCAGCTCCCTGCTTCTGGCCTGGGAAAGCAGTCAAGGACAGCCCAAAGCCTGGGGACTGTGTACCCGCATGGGAGACCTGGAAGAAGCTCCTGGCTCCTGGCTTTGGATCGGCACAGCTCTGGCTATTATGGCCACTTAGGGAGTGAATCATCGGATAGAAGATCTTCCTCTCTGTCTCTCCTCCTTTCTATATATCTGACTTTGCAATAGAAATAAATATTAAAAGAAAAATTAGACTGTGTTAAACATTTTCTTAACGGTATACAAAATCTACCTACAAGTCTGATACACAACTTGAATTTAAGAAATCTAAGTGGAATTTATCTATTCTAAGGAATTGCCAGAAGAATGTGAAAATTTCCAAGGATCTGTAAGCTGTGCATGTCATAGGGCAGAACAAAATCTCAGAAGCAGCAGAATCCTCCCGGCGAAGCTGCTGACTATCCCGACAGGAGAACACTGGTTCGGACACGGGCCACGCCCACAATGTCAGGAAACACCTCAATAGTGGAAGGATGGCTTAAGGAGTGTTCACGAAGGACTACCCACTGTAATACTAGTGGGGAAATCCCAGAGCTTAGGGAACTGTTCCATAAAACAAAAAAAATGAAAAGCAGGAGACTCATTTCAGATGCGTTGCACTCTGAGATTTCTGCCTGGCAGCGACCCAACACTTGGTGCACCTGTCTATGATCATCACGGTTTTCTAATGATTAGAAATTATTAAAACTGTTATTCTGGGGATTGCCAAAGTTTGCCTTGAAGGGCCAATTACAAGAAATATTAAAGTATGTGGCCATACTGCCCATCACAACCACTCCACTCGTGCGGAGAGAAACCAGTCAGGCGTGATGCATAAATGGATGGGCATGGCTGTGCCCCAACCAAACTTGCAGGTAACAAAAACGCCTGCTGGCCTATCTTAAACAAGTATACCACAGTGCACAGCAGAATAATCTCTGGCTATTCAAAGAGCCTCAGAATGTATACTGTGCAAACCTCTCTAAAAAATAAAGATATTATTACTTGAAAAATTAATCAGAAATCATCTTTGTACTTTAAAAATCAAATAGCTCAGAAAAAGCAACAAAAAAAAGCCTCACCAACTCTGCCTTTAAAAGGAGAATTAGCAAACCCCAACAGCTCATACTATGGAAAACTGCTTAGATGGACAACGCTGCTGGCTGCTCTGCGCGACTGGGCACTCCTCGTCATGCAGTGTGCCTCGCTAAGGCACCAGGGAGCTGCTGCAGAATGAACTGCTGAGGGGGCACGAGCAGTGCCACCATGTGACTGAGGAACGCGAGGTCTGGCGCAGGCAGGGACCTGACCCACTCAGACTGTCAACAGCAGGATCCCATAGGAACTAGCTCCTAAGTGTTGGCTTTAAGATCTGAGAAATACATGTTCCTCCTTCCTATACTGAATTGCCATGCAGGCAACAGAGCAAACGGGAACTTGTTAACCCAACAGGGAGGGTCAGGAGCACTGGGAGGAGAGGCTCCTGTATTTATTGGTGGATAACTAAGGATTTGTTACTAAACCAAGAATGACAGAACTGTCCTGCTTTTCTCCCAGCAGATGAGGTGACCCCTGTGGACAGGGCTGGAGCAGGCACTCTTTGCCTCTACACTTCTGAGGAACTGTGCTAATCCACGCAGCTCATTCTCAGTGCACGGTGCACTTGCTGACACGCACTGCAAAGAGACATTTCAGTGCTGGGCATGGTCTGAGGTGGGCATCTGTAGTGGCTGCACTGTGGCTTGGGACTCTGACATCCCACATTGCAGTGCCTCATGCAGGTCTGCGCTCACCTGCTTCCAATCCAGCTTCCTGCTAACATGCACTCAAGTGCCAGCCGCACAGGTCAGCTCGGAGCTCCCGGCTCCTGGCTCTGGCTGGGCCCAAACCTAGCGGCTATGAGCATTTGAGAAGTGAATCCGTGAATAGAATATTTCCCTATGTTTCTCATTTTCAAATAAAAGAAAAATTTATTTAAATAGTATTTTCTAATGTTATTAAAAAAGAAAACAAAGTAAATAGTTGTCAAAGTTTAACACACTTTTAGCCAATAAGATGCTAAACAGCAATTACCCATTAACCACAAAAATCCCTACTCTATTAACTGCAGAAAACAGACCAAGAAATCTGTGTGCACCTTTTACTTCTGACAAGATGACACTCTTAGATACAGCAAAGAATAATGCGCTTCAGGATATTGCCACCCAAATTCCCAGCTTGAGTCTACCCCATGCAGTGGCAAGCCCGGGGGCAGGGAGGCCTCGGCCAGGCAGCCAGGGTCTGCCACGCTGCTGGCAGAGCTGCCCAAGGAAACCGCAGCAAGCACAACGTGCCCTTTTCTCCACACAAACCAGTCAGCTACAGACAAGACAGAGGGAGACAATGGACACAAACTTCTCAGAAACAAAACCAATATTAAAGGAATATGGTTAGTTGGAACTAGACCAATTTTAAATAGAGTCCTTGGCCCCTGTTTAATGTTTTAGTCCAGACTGCAGCATCGGGGACTTTCACACTACAACAAAACTCCCCTAGGCCTGCAGGTAAAAAGGAACAGAAGAGCATGCTATGATCTCGTCTAATCCCATCGCCCTGCTCACCGCAGCTTCCACTGGAAACCCAACTTGGGAAAAACGAGCAGACAGGAAACAAGCTGGTGTTATACCCACCACCCCGAGAAACCTGGCAACTGACTTCCTCCTCACGGAAGCCAGTGCCACACCCATAAGCCTCCCAGGTTGCTAACAATGACTCCCCAACGCCCAGAAACTCCCCAGGTTAGTAACAAGTGATTCCCATACGGGGCTGGGCCCTGGGCTACCTTGGGTGGTGCTTCGTCTGCCCCTCCGGAGTCCCAGGACACCGTGGCCTGTCTTCTGGACTCCATCCTCATGCGTTCCTCTTGTTGAGCCTTCTCCTCCTCCAGTACTGTGCTAGAGAGACAACACATTGATTTAAGGGGACGTGATGACCACGAGCGCGCTCATCTGATCCCCCACGACGCATCGCGGTGAGCCAACAGCGATGGCAGCAATAAAGCAAGGGTCCTGCACGCCCAGGGAAACAGCTTAGGTTCCTAACTCTTCACATAAGATGATTCTAGAACATTACTGATTCAAAACGGCGAACCCCTTCAAAGCATAAAGGTAAGAAAAAGACAGCTCGTGAGAAGAAGACAAGTCAGGAAGAAATGCAGGACAGGCCACGGAGAAACGGCTTCTGCGAACACCCTTGCCCTGAGCAAGCCCAAACAGCACTCTGCAAGCATTCTCATGTCCGAGGACAAATTCCTCACATGAACACAGGCAGCTCCCACAGACCGTGACCACACCAACTCACTACGCAAGGCATTAGGAATTTGGCCAATCGTCTCCCTAAAGTGCTCAACCCAATCTCCCCACTGACTTTCAGTTTCACCAGTACTTTATCTGCTCAACAAAGACCGACACACAGGCACTCCCAGTGCTCCCTGAAGCACCACCTGCCAGTGATGCTGGGCTAAGTGACAAGGCTACTCACCCCACTTGGAGGCTACCCCAAGTCCCGCAGAGCCGTGGCCTCCGCTGCCTCCTCAATGCCTGCTAGGCGGCCTCTCAGTCTTGGCGCTCTGCCACTCCAGACTCAGGCAGCTGGAGCGGGACTCTGCTGGTTTCCCACTCCCTGCGGATTCCCCAGGGCTTCACAGGCTGTAGGTCTTGGCAAGCTTTATCCTAACATGGCCACAGGTCTTCCTTTGTGCCCGCAACGCCACGGTTTTAATCCTGCCGTTCTGAGTCCCTGGCCCTTGTGTAGAGCGTGGTAACTAACCGCCCCGAATTACTCAGGAAAGAGTGACATCAGCTGCTCAGGCTTTCTAATCTGGGAATTTGCTCAACTGTTTAAAAAGACAGTCCTGCCTGCTGGGGCTGCAGCACTGCTTCACACACCACCACTGCGCACGCAGTCACCTTCCTCCTCAGGAAGAGATGCCATTCATGCCTGAGCTGCCCTGAGTCAGCGAGCCATCACCAGAGGGGAGGATTTCAGTCTTTCCTGAAGGCGGGGAATGCTTTCCTTAAGCACTGATCATGCCAACAGTTTCCACCCCACCAAGACTGGAGTTTCTTTCTCGTTTCACCTAGAAGATCGAAGCTCAGCAAACACCAAGAAGCTCTAACCACGTGCCAGGCCCAGCAGTGCTGGCAGGCTAGGAGAGCCTGGCTCTGCACACTGCCCCAGCCAGGCTCATGCAGCCAGCCTGGCTCTGCACACTGCCCCAGCCAGGCTCACCCAGCCAGCCTTGCTCTGCACACTGCCCCAGCCAGGCTCACGCAGCCTGGCTCTGCACACTGCCCCAGCCAGGCTCACCCAGCCAGCCTTGCTCTGCACACTGCCCCGGCCAGGCTCACCCAGCCAGCCTTGCTCTGCACACTGCCCCGGCCAGGCTCACCCAGCCAGCCTTGCTCTGCACACTGCCCCAGCCAGGCTCACCCAGCCAGCCCTGCTCTGCACACTGCCCCAGCCAGGCTCACGCAGCCTGGCTCTGCACACTGCCCCAGCCAGGCTCACCCAGCCTGGATGTTAAAGGATTTTTAACATTTCTTTGAAAGGCATAGTCACAGAGGGAGACAGAGAACCTTTCATCAGCAGGTTCACTCCCTAAACGCCCACAATGCATTGCCAGTAGCTTAACTCCCAGTGCTACAATGGTGACCTTGTATTAACAAAACAGAGTATTTTCTCTAGCACTACTGACTTTCCAATAATAATAAAAAAAATTTTTTTAAACATTCATTTATCTTTATTTGAAAGGCAGATTTTACAGAGCAGAGAGGGAAGGTCTTCCATCTGCCGGTTCACTGCCTTAAATGGCTGCAATGGCCAGAACCCAGCTCACCCGAAGCCAGCAGCATCCCCCAGTCTCCCACGTGGGTGCAGGGCCCAAGGCCTTGGGCCATCCTCCACTGCGTTCCCAGGCCAAGAGCAGGGTTAGCAGTGGGACATTGGGAACACAACCTGACACCCTTATGAGATACTGGGACCACCATACTGTGCCACCACGTGACCCCACTTTCCAAGAATCTGCAAACTTTCTGTTTGGTACAAGAGGACGTAAGTCTTTGTACTGAACAGGATAGGTACCGAGATGGAAGTCGCTCAGCCTGGGTTGTTCTGGCCCAGCGAAAGCCAGGAGGAGGAGGTCCAGCAGGCTGCAGCCGGGCCAGCCCAGACTGCACGTGTGGCACACGGCCGAAGCACAGAGACCTGTCTGCTCCCCAACCACTTTTGGTGTGGAAACGAGGACCTTACATTTCAGTTTTCCTTATGCACTCAAATTCTTGACTCCGTGTTTTTGCCACAGACAACTCCAGGCCTCACTCACAAAGTGGGGTACCTACCTGACCACCTTTCTCAGTTTGTTGTCAAAGAGTAGAATGAAAAGTGAACAAACTGTATCAATAATCAGGACACCCAAAAGCTTTTAGAAACAAAGATTATTACAAATTTCCCATCAAATAATATCCTTTATAGTAACTATCACTTGCAAGATGGGCTGTAAATATTTTAAATAATCTAAACTACAATTTGAGCCTGAGGTGTAACACAGAAAGCTGCCTTGTTGGAAATCTTTCATCACCCACGGAAACGCCAGAGCGACACTAACCCTCAAGTCTGCGGAACATGGCCGCGCGGCGTTGATGCCATCAACACGTACTAAGCCGCACCTGCAGGAACGGCAGCAGAGGTGGGTAAGAGGGAACCATCTTCAACTAGGTGCCCACCACTTGCCAGAGCAAAGTTGGGAAGGTACACTTAACTCCCAGGTTATAAAATAACAGGTCAACCTGTGCCTACAAAGGCTACTGAAGGAGTTAAAAAAACCTACATGCTTGCTTCAACTCATGCATTTGCACATACATAACTGTCCTTGTTGATTAAGTTTGCTTTTAAAGATTTAGTTTATTTGAGAGGCAGATTTACAGAGAAGGAGAAGGAAGGAGAGGCGAGACGAGAGCGTGCAATAATTTTCATCTGTGGCTCCCACCCCTGCCAGAGCCGCGCAGGTCTGAAGGGAGGAGTCTGGAGCTTCCACCAGTCTCCCACACGGGTGCAGAGAACCAAGGACGTCAGCCCTCCGCTGCTGCTTGTCTAGGCACATTAGCAGGGAGCAGAGTCAAAGTGGAACAGCCAGGACTCAAATCTGTGTCCACATGTAATACTGGCACTTTCAGTGGAGGCTTAACCAATTATGCCATGGCACTGGCCCTGTTAATTTTATTTGGAAGGCAGAGAGGGACAAGCTCCTAGCCACTGGCTTACTCCCCCCACACCTGCAATGTCTGAGTCAGGGCCAGGCCAAGGCCAGGGGCCTGAATTCTGCAATCTCTCCCACGGAGGGCAGAGACCCAAGCCCCTGAGCAGCCAGCTGCTGTCTCCCAGGGTGAGTCCACAAGAAGCTGCATTGCAAGTTGAACAGCCAGGGCTCTAATCAGAACTGCTCTGACGCTCACTGAGACCCAACCGCTGCCCAGCTTTCATGTCACTGAGGCTCATAAAGGCGGGACGAGAACAAGAGGACGGTCCCCCAGCTGTATGGCAAGGTGTGATCAAGGTCCAGCTACTTCAGTGCAGTTTCACACTCTCCCCGGATGTGCCTGTGCACTGTCGTGTGCCCTTGTGAGGTGGTCTGTATAAATAATGGGGTCAGCTTTCTTGCATTGCCCATTATGGTCATGAAATTATAGTGGTCCATCTTTTTTCTTTATCTGTTTTTTTTAAAAGATTTATTATTTTTATTATTATTATTTTTTATTGGAAAGGCGGATATACAGAGAAGAGAGACAGAGAGGAAGATCTTCCATCCGATGATTCACTCCCCAAGTGAGCGCAACGGCTGATGCTATGCCGATCCAAAGCCAGGAGCCTCTTCCGGGTCTCCCACACGGGTGCAGGGTCCCAAAGCTTTGGGCCGTCCTCGACTGCTTTCCAGTGCCACAGGCAGGGAGCTGGAAGGAAAGCGGGGCCACTGGGATAGAACTGGTGCCCCTATGGGATCCCGGGTGTGCAAGGCGAGGACCTTAACCACTTGCGCCACCGTGCCGGGCCCATTTTATCTGTTTTTTAAAATGCCGACTCCACATGTTCTTGTGAGCTCTGGACTCAGCTGGAGCTGGTCTCCAGCACCCAGCAATCCTCTTTCCCCACTTCAACACACATCTTAACCGCTTTGCCAAGACACAACCCTTAGCTCTGCTTTACAAAATGAGTGACTCATCTTCTCCTCGTTTCTTGCATCCTTGTCTGTCACCTTCTTCCTGCGTGTGCAGGGAGGGGCTCCGTATGTGATGTCCACTGCCTCCCGCAATGGCTCTCCTGACCTGGAGAGTATTTATCTGGGCAACACTTACTGTGTTCCAAGTGCCAAGTTTCTGCAGTGCTCCCTGACAATCCCAACCCAACAGAAGCTGAGTTAACTTGCTTCTTTAAATATTCCCCAAACTGACTCCTGCTAACTTGATTTTAACATCTGTAAGATATACAGAGAATGTGTTCTGCCTTTGCTTCCCACTGGGCTTGCAGCTGTTACCTGATGGTCTATTTCACCAGCTCATGTGCAATACATGGACTCTGGCTTGTCAAATGCTTTGATAAATGACCAGTGGGGGAATGAGCGAAGCCACATCAGTGAGGTTCACTGGCAAGGGCAGAGCACATTATCAAGCTTCCTGTCCTCCCCTGAGGCCCAACAGGAAATGCCTACAGGCTGCTTCTGCAAGATGACCACGAGGTGGGAGGGGAGAGTCCAGTCGGAAGCCTTAGACAGAGTCCGTTCCAGGGCCCTTTTCCCAATCATCTGATTCTTAAACAGTCAATCTGGGGTATACATTTCCTAACATCTTATGTTTTAAACAACAAAACTTCTTAACAATTGAGGGAGAAGGGCAATCAAGAA